GTTAAAAAAAATGGTGTGGGATTAGCTATTATCTTTGTTGTTAAAGAGCTGGGAACCCTGACACAGGTTTTTTTACTTGAAAGGGTTCCCAAATCTTACACTTGCGGCCCGTCCCGACTTATTTTTTAAACATTTTTTGTAGATATTGATATGTTCTTTAATATTGTGGGACATTTTTTTGTTCTATCATCAATAGTTTTCGCAGCGCATGCTATGAAAGATATATTTTTTAAAGGCATTTTTTTTATTTCTGCTATGAAATATATTTTATAGGCATTTTTTTACACCTTGGGTAACATTATTGTGGTTTTAGTACGGATCCTTATTTTATTGCAATTAAAATAGCCTATATTAATCAGTGATAATATAGCATTCAAACGGTGAAAGAATTTTTAAAATCGGTAGAGTACTTTTGAGCCAATTCGTTACAAAAATACTTACATACAAATCTTTTCTCTCTATAATATAAGTATAGATAAAGACATTTTTATTTAATCCCTAGTTATTTAATTTGACTTAAACGAATTGATTGTATGAAAAAGCTGTCCCAATGTGTTGTCCAGTTTAACAGTGATTTTGCTGTACACAATTTTCACACCATAATGAGTTATGTATGACTGTTTGTTAATAACCTATCAGGTCTAAGTCACGATTGAGTTATTTGTAGTCTCTGTCTATGAAGATAGAATCATACAGCTTATATACATCTATATGTAATGTGTGGGTATCTAGTGTTTGATTTGACCTTGATTGCTTAATCGATTTGAGTGTATAATATTTTTAGTAAGATGCAAAGACCAACATTTTTAAATTTAATTTAGTTTTCTATTTATCCATTTTTAATTATTATTACTATGTATGTAACATATATATATAGTGTAATACAATTCATAATTGTATAGGTTATTTACAATATACTTTTATAACGCTTGCGGTGAATACATACTTAGAATAGTTTCATTTTAAATAGTATGTGTTAATTTTGCGATGTTTTCACCTCCGTTTCATTTTATTGTTCCTTTATCATTTTCCATAACACATTCATACTACGTTTATAGAAGTGTTAGAGTAATTTTGTAAGTTCGTGGGTTCGAACAGCAATCTCGCGGAATCCTGGATAAATAAACATCACTCGTCACTAATCAAAACCGGTTTTATTTATTTTTTTATAGAACAGGGGGCAAACGAGCAGGAGGCTCACCTGATGTTAAGTGATACCGCCGCCCATGGACACTCTCAATGCCAGAGGGCTCGCGATTGCGTTGCCGGCCTTTTAAGAATATGTATAAAATTCAATTTATTTCAAAGGTTTAAAAAAAATTGAATAGAATAGATAGAAACGGCAAAAATATGTCTCCTCCAATTTTGTTCCCTTTGGAGTAGACTCTTGGGCCGTGGGGTTCAAGTGCACGGCGCTAATTAAAGAGTTAAGTCGGCGCGTGGTAGATAGTACCGGTGACCCCAGAGCTGGTGTTTTACTCGTTCGAATAAGCGCAATACAGTGAGAAAATTTGGACCAAACTTTATGCCCAAATTTTAATTTTCTATTTATTTTTAATTATTATTACTATGTACACTAAGAGTGTAAGATAAATTTGTGTCTTTTATCAATTGAGAATAAATAAGGTTGTGTATTTAAATATTAATATAGATCCCAAAAATAAGTGGCTGGATGTGATATACATGTACCAAATACTTACTGGTCCCACGTGGCCTCGCTACCATAATTTAGTGAAGGTTGTCTTCAATGCCAATAATGAGAATTTGTTTATTACAAACCATGTATAAAATTCTGAATATTTCTTTTCAATGTCGTTTAACATTTTCCTGATTTGTGAACCTTCACATTATGCATCAGCTCTTCCTTTATAATTAACAATTTAAGAATAAAACCTGTTCGTTTTTTGGTAAGTATACCTTTGACTTACCTTTTAAAATAAATATTTGGAATTTTATGCCCTTCATTTGTTTTGAAGTCTGTCAAACATGGGTTTTCGTAAAGTATGAATACCACTTGTAATCATTCTGTTAATTTCTGTTATATTCCTGTTTAGTACGAATTAAACAGAAATTACTCATCTCAATAAACGAATAAGCTTCTAATAGCTATTGAATCTTTTGTCCTTGTCACTCTCGTGTCAAATAGAAAGTAAAACGTGGCAAGTTTAACTACTTTAAACGTACCTACTTTTATTATGAATGAAATAAATACAATCTCTATTTCGTGTCAATTGTCAAAACAACTATGTTCTTCTCTTTCATTACGTCACACCAGCCAGCGCTCCGAAATCTTACGAAGGCCACCAAGCAGGTTATATATCTAGAGATATCAGCACTGCAATATTTATATAATGATTTCAAGGTGTTACAAATATTATATGCGAAGACAATTTAAAGTAGATCATGGGTTTTCTTTAACGAATATTATGTTAAAATATTTTTTAATATTATGTTTATAGATTAAGTTTTAACTGAATGTGTAAATACGCCACCAGTGACTATATACTAGCTTCTAGTTATGTATAATAACAATAGCCTTTTATTTCCAAAACTTAATTATGAACATTGAAGTTTCATTTTTATGGATCTTTATCTATAGTTTATATTTATGGTAAATTTACTTAAAACAGTCGGTAAAATACATTGTAAAATTTAGGGACCATCAAATGCTTTCGTTGTCCTATTTTGGTTTGTCCACCGTTGGACATAGGCCTCCTCCATCCGGTTCCACTCGCGTCAGTCGTGGGCCAGGCGCGGCCAGGCCTTTTCGACACTGGTTTTAATTCGCTGTATTGTTATTATATTGTTCTTGGATATTCTTAGATTTTTCAGTGTGTTTGTTGGATGAAAAGATGTAGTCTTCGGGTTCAACATGTGTATTCCCTCTTTTCTAACATAAGAAAGACTCAGAATATCCCACTTTTTGCTCTGGAGACCTGGCTTTTTATTGGCTACGTATAGATAAATAAATTGGATGTGTTTTGAAAAATATTTTTTCTTGATTCTTAAGTGTGTTTATTAAAACGAAGGTGAGTGAAAAAACAAAACCAATGAGAATTTAAGATTTTATTTACATTAATTTTTATAAATTTGTAAAGCAATAGCTTTAAAATAAATGAGTCATTACAATTTGGACAATGACCTGTGCCTGTAAACATAATGCTGGTTGAAACAAATAATAATTACAAAATAATCAAGGCACTTAGGAACAAAAGAGACAATAATACTATGACATAACGTTCTTTATTGACATTCTTTGTAACTAATCTTGTATATTACAAACTACAACAATAATGTACAATTAGTGTGCGTTTTTGTGATTTTAAAAATACATTTGGTTCTCAATAACTATTGAACAAGCTAATCTTTAAGACGCCATCTCGCTCTCACATCTGCATAAACGCGGGGAGGAAGCGTGTGAGAAAATCACATCGGAAATTGCCAACGTCACGTCTTACTGTGTCCCTTTACTTTGATCTTGTTCAATAGCTGAAGGGTCTACAAGCACTATACAAACTTGATACAAAAATCTACATCAACACGATAAAGTTGTCTTAGTCTAATTGGATACCATAAAACCGGACCATCCGTATAAAATCTCCGATCGGAATTAATTTCTTTAAGCTTTTATACAGAGCGCATTCCAAAAAATGACAGGGAAACTAGCACAAATACGACATACAGGCTAGGCTAATATCACAGGAGTGCTGGGAACGGTTCGCTTTGCCCCTCCAGAGGGTGGTGACACCCCACCCCCCTTCCATCTCGCCTCCCGACCTACACTTCCTACAGGTACCTATTTACTATTCAGAGGGCGAAATGGGCTTCTACCGATATTTTGCGACAATTAAGATTTCAATAGCTTCACTTTCCTCATCATTGCACCATGTCCTAACAAGTCTATTGCACGAGTTAGCGATACCGTTACATTTTAAACATAATCACTCTAAAATAAATTAACAAGCAGAAAATATTCTAAACAATAAGTACGCAATTATCGAATTAACAACCAAAAATGGTAACGAAGCGTAAAAAGATGGATTAGGTAACATTAAGAACAAAATATACAAAATAAAATAGCGTCAAACAAAACACTTTAAATAATTGTGAATCAGACTTGTAAAATGCATTTGATCCAAGGTTTGGTCCAACGTTTGGCTTATCTTCGTAAGGTCACCGACGCTCAGAAGCGGCGAGCACCTCGCGTCGTATTGTATAAAGTATTTTTTCCTTTGTTACGAACATGTCATATACGTAATGTCAGAATGTTTCTCAATACGCGTGTGGTCTCGCTCGCACGCTTCATAGCGCACTGCTCTCAGCTTTTACTTTCAAAGTTTATCGGACTATTTGTTTCGTGCATTTCCACTGACTTCGTAAACTTGTACTCGTAATGCCCCTTATTCTATTATCTTAATCTCACTCGAGGCAGCGCATAATACTAAAGAACTAAATGATACATTCGTCGTGCCTAACCGTCCCCAGTTGCTTTGCACTATCACTTATCAAAATTACAATATATACGTATTAAACTATTTATAGTACAATAATGTAACATTAATTATCGCTTAAATCTAAAACTCCGAAATAATTCTTCAACTTCACTATACATTTGATCTTCACCTCAACGTCACTTAGCAGTTCTTCAATAAAAGAAATGTCGAACACTAATTGGACCGCGCCCAACGATAGCGACTGAGCAACTTTCACTAAATAATATAAAACGCGCTAACAATGTAAGTACTCATCTTAAACAACGTAGAATTGGCTAACGTAGTCCGTTCGGGTAACGTGGATTGTATCAACGCGATGTCCAGCGTTCAGGTGTCAGCGGTGAGACGTCGAGCGGAGCCGGATTGCGTTACTAGCTGCCGCGGCGCGCTAGTTCACAACGCGTCCGGTAACTCGGTCAGCGACTCGAGCGGTGTAACCTCGCACGAGCATGCTTCACTCGGGCGCTGGCATCACAGCGGAGGGTTTAGGTGCACGGAACGACGCGGTCATGAGTCCAAAACCGTGAGTAGGCCGGGGGGCAGAAGGACGTCCTGCCGTGGCATCTGTCGCGCCAGCTGTGCGCAACCAAGGTTCGCGTCCCCCAACTCTGGGATGGCGTCTAAGAGAGCCAGGCATTCGTCCTCAACAGCGCGACGGGCCTTCTTGCCGATCCAGGAATCGTCGCATTCCTCCCTGGCGCGTCTGCGCCTGGCTTCCTTCTCCTTGCGGGCTTCCTCGCTTAGACGGCAGTACGTGTTGTTGATACAGACGGAACGGCGAAGGTCACGCGCGGGGTCTTCGATGTTTTCTAATTTCTGGGAGCATATTTCAATGACACGCTTGCGTTCCTCGTTAGCGCGCAGTCGTGCCGAGATCATGGAGAGTTTGGGTCGTGCAACGGCGGGCTCGGTGCGCGAAGGGCCAAACATGTCGTCCTCGAAGGCGTCCGCGATCTCAGCGCCGCGAGCGCTCTCTCGCTCCTCTTGCGGAGTCATTCTGTAACAATAACACGAACTAATTAGCACCGCTTTGCTTAGACGTACGTAATTCCCCAAAGGAATGACGTTCGCATTTATGCTAACATTATTAAGTAAACATATAACGTCATTTATTCAAAATATATTGAACACGAATTAACCTTGATACATTCTTGATTTCATGGCAAGTAAAAATATCAAATCCTCGAGCGTACAAAATCACGTTAAATAATGGATTTTATTTTAATTCGAAACAAAGAATAATAAGTACTAGGTCAAAGAACAATGCCTTCGAGAGGGATATATACAGGTCAATAACATCGATATAGCTCAAAATCATGAGTGGTCATGAGATTCAGATCGATATGCGACCTAGAAATATTTTTAACAGCACCCACCTAGCTGATATTTCAGGAGAGAAGATTAGAAATCCGGACATAAACATCTTAAACTTAACAGATCACAATTCAGTGGAATTGTAACAAAAACAAAGCTGTAAACACTAGCACTGTAAGCGCGCAATTCGTCACTTTGTCCTCGACAGTGGTGAGTGTATGAAGGCACAAATAAAAATAAACGCAACAAGTGGCGCGTGTGCGCAGCGCGGCGAACACTCAGCAAATGACAGTATACCTCACAGCAGATAAGACATTGAAAAAGCCAATTGCGTCACCCGTGTACGGCTACGTACGTGCCGGGAGGAAACGGGTGACGTAGCTGTGAACCGTCATTTAGACGATATTGACTGCAATGACTCGGTCTATTTATTTACGAAACAGCTTAAAACGGCAACGTTCCAGCCAGGAAAAAAACAATCAAATGAAAACCCTCAACTATTAACTATCATAACTTCAATTAAGCCGAGTTAGGAAGAGTTTGAATATCACTGTTTTTGTGCAGGATTTTCGAATGAACCGTTAGCAACACAACAGACGTTTTTTGGAACAAGGAAAATGTCTATATAGTATTGTAATTCCACTGAAACCCACGAATGGAGATTACGTTATCTTAAATTGTACCTTAAGGTAATTAGGTCTCTATCAAATAATTATTACGCTTTTGAAAATCCATCCAGTGTCAAAAGTGATTGAGTCAAGAGCAGAGTAAATTTAATCAGTTCTTTTAATAGCAATGATTCGTCGGGTTCGGAATACAAGCTAAAGACAATGTATAGATATTCTTACATTACGTCACAGGAAAATCATTTGTGAATGTATTAATAATGTGTCTATGGTATGATGCTATTACGCAATACTCGTAATGAACAGAATCATTGAACGAGAAAATATATTAATGCTACAGACAATATACAATCCTAACAAATTATATAATTTACACGATATATGTAAAGTAATATTGCAAAGTACAGACAAAAGATGTAGGGGACCTCCAGGAAAAAGAAACGTGGGAAGACCACACAAGCGATGGGCTGACGTGATATGGTTTCTGGGGAAAAATGGATGGAGGAAGCCAACAGATCAAATGGATAGTTCAGAAGGAGGCATTTACCCAAAAAGGGTCCATACTGCGATCAAGTAATGGAAACAACAATAACGTAAACAAAACTAACACACATTTGATTTGTAATTGTTGTAGTATAGAATTAAAGTGGCATTATTATTATGTAATGTAAAATTTCGCCAACTTCTATATTTAGTTAAACAACGCGTGCCCTGACAATTGTGTTATCGTAAACATTTAGAATGCGATTTTCGTTTGCGATTCATTATACTTTCAAGTAAGAAAAACAAATAAATCATTAGCGCTACAACCTTTTTAGGTCTGGGCCTCATTCTGTATCTGTTTCATGATCATTTGGTAATCTAAAAGTAGGTGATCAGCCTTCTGTGCCTGACGCACGCCGTTGACTTTTTGGGTCTAAGGCAAGCCGGTTTCCTCACGATATTTTCCTTCACTGTTCGAGCAAATGTTTAATGCGCACATAGAAACAAAGTCCATTGGTGCACAGCCGGGGATCGAACCTACGACCTCAGGGATGAGAGTCGCACGCTGAAGCCACTAGGCCAACACTGCAACACTTTCAAGTACATATTCAAAAAAATTCAGAATCACGTTTATTTAATGAATATTGAACAAGACAATACTATAGCATATTAGTTTTTTTCTAGCGGCGTTCTGCCGTCCCCTGTTACGACCTAATAAATCTTCAGCTTCGAGCCACCACTACCTGCACTTTCTTTTCTCTGTCACAAATAACGAATCTATATACTCATTCATAATAACAACGCAAATATCTTAAGAATGTTCGAGATCGCATACTGAGCCCCCAATGAAATAATGAAGTTGCTGATAAAACTAGTCCTAGTTGACAATTTCAATTAGTTTGTCCTTCTGTTCTACCTTCAGGATTATATATTACGTCATGCAACGGTCGTTCAGATAGTTATTTAGTAGCTTAGGCAATGGTCGAAGTAGACTGTAAAGTTTTAGTTTAAAGCGATACTTCATATGCAGTTATTGTTAAAAGTTTAAAGGTACAACGACCCCACTGCCCTCGCATCCGAATTGTAAGTACTCCTTCTTTATCGGTTTTCGACGGATAACATGTAAAAATAGACGAAACACTGTTGAAGTGACATAAATACTAAATAATGTTATACATAATAAAACTCCTAAACAAGTCAGTTCCTTTCTAAATATGATTGATTGAACAATAAACCTATTTTGCTTAATAATTTAACATTAATTACATGTTCTTTTTTTAAATCAATATTAAAAAAAGAAATATATCACAGAAGTCCACAGATTACTAAAATATAACAGAAAGAGGCGAAAGAAATCAAGAGTGCAATTATTAGTTTTTATATGGTAGGTTTATAAAGATTATAATTCAAATTGTGTTAACAATTAACTGTCTTACAGTTAATTTTATTAAAGAAAAGATGACCCGATGAACTTCGTATCACCTACATATATCAACAAAAATGAATAATTTTACCTCATACTATAGCTATGAAAGCAAAATTTCGAAATTTATAAATAATTATGATGAACCAGTGACAATGTTTTATTTTTAAAAAGACAAATATTACCCAGCTAGGATCAGTTTTTTTTGGATTCAATTGTCGTTATTATAATTTATCTTATTATTACTGTTTCCCATTTTAAACCTTTCCTAAACTTCAACAAATGTTTCGAGATCAAAATTAGCCAAATCGGTTCAGCCATTTTTGAGTTTTAGTGACACGAACATTATTTTTATATATAGATAGATAGAAAATGTGATAAGAACTCAGTCTAGTGAGGAACTAATACCGGAATCATAACAGTCACGAGAATTGTCACATGTTTGCGTACATTGTGACTTACACAATGTTAAAATAGAAGATACATAAACTGTATTAAAGTATACATTTATACAGTATAGAAGATGTATAATTGGATTGTATATGTTAATATTTGTATCTCTTTTCATCACAGCGTAAACACAATTTGTCAGAAAGAAACGAAAAGTTATCAAAGGAATAAAATTTATAAATTACTATAATTAAGTACATACGAACTTAAATCAGATGCTTAATAGACACTAGAAACACTATGAAAATGAAAACAATACCTTCAAGGCCAATTTGAAGTACTTTATCAGGCCGTGATATCTTGTGTACCACAGTTGAACAATAAATCTATATATTTAAACTGAGACTTTCAAATATATATCGCATGTCAAGATGACGATTTTATAAATTATAATCTATGGTAAAAGCAGGTGACGCCCAAATTATGTAATCGATTGCAACATTAACGTGAACGGGAACATTACAGAAATTTTAGGCATACTTCCGTGTCTATGATAAAAACGAAGAGAACGATACACTTAAAAAAATACCAATGTAATAGTGTAATGACATCTTAAATCATGTAATCGTTAAACGGTAAGGTTCGAACACAACATCATGACTTCTAACTGTGCAACATAAAAACCTAACACACACAATTATCCTGACCTTATCAAAATTTCCATACAACACTCGATACATTGCTAGTGAAGTATAAAGTATTAGTAGTGTGTGCCTTTCAGCAGACAATGGAATGGTTACGATTCCAATAAATCAAAATTATGGCGTCCCCGCTAAATCGAGTTCCAGATTTGCAATTAATTTTCGGAAATTATGTTTACTTTTAATAACTAATATTTTTGAGTGCAAAATATCTCTATATATATCGAGTTTCTTGATTAATAATAGAAAACCGTTATAAATTGGATAACCTTATTTTATTAAACGAAAAAGCTAGTCTTTTAAGTGAAAAATATTATGGTTCTTAAGTATTTACTTGACAACAATTTAACAAATTGGAAAAGATGTTTCTATATATTATGCTTGCTATATTTGATTTTCTTCCTTTAAACGGAAATGTATAACGCTTGGCATATTGCCCAAGTTATAATAACTCGTATAATTTCAAGAAATGAGAAAAATATCTCAAAAATTATTAAACGTAAATAAAAAAAGATAAGAAACATTGAGGGAATATTGAACTTGTTCGAGGAGAGCTTTTTTGGAATTTCTACATATTATAATTCAATTTATTTCTTAACAAAAATTAACTATTACACCAAAATCGTATTTTTTTGTAAAATTGCGTTTAATGTTTCGATGAAATGGTGTCTATAAATAAACTGATTTATTATGTGAATAAGTTTCTAAAACATATCTTGCGTCATGCGCCTATGCGTGGCAAGCGCCATTTTCTTATGGTTAAGATTGGCTCAATAACTAACTTTAAGTATTTATTTGTATTGTTATATATAAGCATGGTAATTTTAGGGAGTTGTGAATTTAAGTACCATATTTTAATTTTATAGCTAAAAAAACGGAGTTATTAACTCACCTGCAAATTGTTTACTTATGCACAAAATACCAAAAGACAATGATCTTTGAAAAAATTTATAATAAGAAATAAACATTAATTAATATAAGCGCAAAATAATTCATAACTAAACACTTAATATGGGACAGAATAATGCACCTCGCCTAATACCAGTTTCACTAATTACTTTTAACAATAAACCAAACAATTATAGGCTTACGTTGACGCAGTGTACACAAAAAAATGGAAATGAGAACACTGTATCTTCATAAGCGAGAGAGAGATAGCAACTGAACAAAAGGGCCAGTCAGGTAGCCTTTGACATAAAATTAGAAAAATTAGTTTCTTAAGTACTTTAATAATGCTATTTTCACTAATATAAAATCCAAAACTCAGTTTACGAAAAAAAATAAAAAAATTGCATATTAACACAATATAATTAACAAATTAAATACCTTTTAAAATTCCGGACACAGTAAGTCCCAATTACGATGACAAAAATTCACAGTTCATTTAACTATTAAAAAATGGAGTGCTAAGTTCAAACATAATGCCAACCTCAACAAGCTGTATCACATAAAACGATCAACTTAGCACTTGTACAAACAGGCACAT